TGCCATATTGGAGGTCACAGATCTGCTGACTGTACAGTATTAGAATTAATTTAGTAAACACAGCAAATCCTGTGTATGCTATTTATATAAGATATAGAGTTCAGCTTTAATCAGAATTTGTGGATAATCTGGAGCAAGGGCATTCTCTTTAACATTTATAACATGCTAGCGTACTAACACAGACTATAGAGATATATTTCTGAGATGCACTCATTTTAATGTTGTTGCCAGGATTAGGGTGAAGGTAAGGGGCAGTATAAGCATTAGAAGTTCACTTTAGGGGGGATCAGCGAATTGTTCAGATAAGCAGTTTAAATTTTGTAAGGGTTAAATGTTTCTTGTTCACTTTAGAGTCTATGAAAGTGCATAAAGGTTATGTTACAGTGGGGATCGAAAGTTTGGGCACCCCAGCTCAAAATTTGTATTAATGTGCATAAAGAAGCCAAGGAAAGATGGAAAAATCTCCAAAAGGCATCAAATTACAGATTAGACATTCTTATAATATGTCAACAAAAGTTAGATTTTATTTCCATCATTTACACTTTCAAAATAACAGAAAACAAAAAAATGGAGTCTGTAAAAGTTTGGGCACCCTGCAGAGTTAATATCTTGTACTGCCCCCTTTGGCAAGTATCACAGCTTGTAAACGCTTTTTGTAGCCAGCCAAGAGTCTTTCAATTCTTGTTTGAGGTATCTTTGCCCATTCTTCCTTACAAAAGTCTTCCAGTTCTTTGAGATTTCTGGGCTGTCTGTCACGCACTGCTCTTTTAAGGTCTATCCATAGATTTTCAATTTTGTTGAGGTCAGGAGATTGTGAAGGCCATGGCAAAACCTTCAGTTTACACCTTTTGATGTAATCCCCCGTGGATTTCGAGGTGTGTTTAGGATCATTATCCATTTGTAGAAGCCATACTCTCTTTAACTTCAGCTTTTTCACAGATCGCATCAAGTTACCATCCAAAATTTGCTGAAATTTTATTGAATCCATTTTTCCTTCTACTCGTGAGATGTTCCCTGTGCCACTGGCTGCAACACAACCCCAAAGCATGATTGATCCAACCCCATGCTTAACAGTTGGACAGAGGTTCTTTTCATTAAATTCTGTGCCCCTTCTTCTCCAAACGTACCTTTGCTCATTCCGGCCAATAAGTTCAATTTTAACCTCATCGGTCCACAGAACTTGTTTCCAAAATGCATCAGGCTTGTCTATATGTTCATTTGCAAAGTTCAAACGATGGTTTTTGTGTTGAGGACGTAGAAGAGGCTTTCTTCTGATGACTCTTCCATGAAGACCATATTTGTACAAGTATCTATTTATAGTGGAATAGTGTACCACAACTCCAGTGTCTGCCAGATCTTTCTGGAGGGATCGTGCAGTCAAACGTGGGTTTTGAATTGTTTTTCTCACAATCCTGCAAGCTGTTCTGTCTGATATTTTTCTTGGTCTTCCAGATCTTGCTTTAACTTCCACTGTTCCTGATGACTGCCATTTCTTAATTACATTCCGAACAGAGGATATTGACATCTGAAAACGCTTTGCTATCTTCTTATACCCTTCTCCAGCTTTGTGAGCGTCAACTATTTTCAGTTTCAGTTTTCTAGACAACTGCTTAGAAGAACCCATGGTGCTGATTGTTGGGGCAAGGTCAGATGAGTCTGGGCATTTAAAACCTTTGAGATTGACATCACCTGGTCTTCCTAGACGATGATTGAGAACAATCCATGACACTGGCAGGTCTCATCTTGTCAAAGGGGACAGTGCATGCTATAAATTCTGCAGGGTGCCCAAACATTTGCAGACACCATTTTTTTGTTTTCTGTTATTTTGAAAGTGTAAATGATGGAAATAAAATCTAACTTTTGTTGACATATTATAAGAATGTCTAATGTGTAATTTGATGCCTTTTGAACATTTTTCCATTTTTCCTTGGCTTCTTTATGCACATTAATACAAATTTTTAGCTGGGGTGCCCAAACTTTTGATCCCCACTGTATATAAATATCTGCCCTTAAAACTAAACTGACACTGTACTGAGCAATTTGAACTGAGCAATAATGCTAATCAGATATTTCTTATAGTGAAAACAACATGTCAATCAATCAATCAGAAGACCCAGCAATATAGGCAACTTAAGGTTGTTTTCCATCCATTGTATATATTAGTATTGAATATTAGCGTCATTGCCTGTCAGGAGCAATACTGCCGATGTTTTACACAGCAACACAATATTTTTTTGTAAAGTAACTGCATTGCTGATCGCGTATGATGAAGCTCCCCATTCTGCCCCATTTGGAAAGCAATCGCATTACCTAGTTGGAAAGGGAATTCACCAAGGTCTGCTTTATCTCTGTCTATCATAAAAGGAAAACATTTGAGTTGGTCAGATGGATGTGCTAGGATGCTTTACAATCTGGTTAATGGATATCTCCCTTGGACAAATCCATGCATACCCATATACTGAGTGCTCTAACAGGAGGCTATAACCTTAGTCCATGCTTCGATGGTCACCTTGACAACAAACGCTGTAAGAATGATTTACCTCAAGCCCAGAGTGTCTGCACTTCGATTTGCAGCTAGTAATGAGTTCTGTGATGAGAGGTTGTTTGCCTTTAATTGAGGTTTTTCTAAATAGCATGTTATAGGCACTTTAGTTTTTTTTTATTGAAGGGCCAGCCAATTGTGCAAAACACTCACTATTTTAAAAAGATATTCACAAAGGGATGGAATTGTTCCAGTAAGCAGTTGGATTTTTTAGACCTACTTTTCTCAGTCAGGGTTCCTTCCATGAAACCCTAGGGTTCCTCCATAGGTTGCTAGGGCTTCTGTGAGCAGTGGTTGATTGAAATCGCACCTGTATTGATCATTAATATAAGAGGGCTCTGACACAAAAGAAATCACTTCTACACTTACCACCAATGTTAGAGGTTTTTTCTATGACAACCACCAATATGTGAGGGCACTTTTCCACTATCCATTAGTGTAAGGGTACCCTAACATTTTCAAAGTTTGTATTTCTTTTCTGACCATTATGTTTCTTTTTTCATGGATGTACTCTAGATGCATCTCATTCTTTTACTTGTATTCACAACTTACTGATCACATTAATATACAGTGAACTGTTATATAATCTTTTTTTTCAGGGGTTCCCTGAAAGCTGAAAATAATTTTAAATGTTCCTCTGAAATGAAAGGCTTGAGAAAGGCAACCAGAAACTTTCATGCCAGTACAACAAAACGCTACCTTTGGTTGGACCAATCACCTTTCCTATCTAGACTTTCATCTTACCCCAACATTAAATAGGGCAAGCTTCCTCCCACTCATGCACAAACTCAATACATTATTGGTGGCCTGGAGCCACTACCACATATCTTGGTTAAGCAGACATACCTTTCTAAGTTACTTTACTACTTTAGAGTGCTACTGGTAGCATTCTCCTCCCTCCCACACCCTTTTTACCCCATCCAAACTTACAAAGCTTCTTGCCATGACCTCCCTGCTGAGCTATTGTGTTCAGACAGGGTGACAGCCTGCACCTTCCCCTGCCAGACTACACCAGTCAGTGCTCACAGCCATTGGTTTTCCAGTATGCTGGTTCGACAGAAACCTGGACGTTCAGCTTGCTTCTGTCGGACAAGCTGCTGCACACACAGGCCAAATGTTGTCTGGTTTCTGTTGAACTGTGTCTACTAGGCTTAGTTATCTTTCTTTCTGGAACACACAGCTTCACTTTACACACCATGACACTCATACACCTTACTACAGTCTCTCTCACTCACAAGATCCTTTTGAGAAAGGCTGGTTTAGACACTGGCAAAGAATTGACTAAGTGTAAAGGACTACTGCAATTTTTTGCTTGTGACTGAAATTCAGATCGCCGCCGGACCTCCGAGATCCGACGGCGTGACGTCAGGCCAGATGAAAAAGCATGCAGAATGAAAAAACTACAATATCATGGCATAACAACATCTCAGCCTAGCTAACCAAATATAAGAGGGGTTTTCTATAAGAAAGCAGGTTCCATAAGTACAAAAATGCCTATGTAAGGAACAGATGACATCCAGTAGCTATGGCAACACCCCTTTTGAGAACGTATTCTGATACGAAACGCGTTAAGGAGCCTCGTTACGTCGTGACGTCACGCCGCCAGATCATGGAGGTCCAGCGGCCATCTTGCTTTCCCACTGGTTAGTGATTCATTCATGCTGCATCGCTGCATCTGGACACGCCAATATTTTTAAATGTGTGTACACCATTTTGACCTTTTTATCTGGATAACTTCCTATAAAGTTTAAAGTTTAATATACTACACTATGGTTATCCATATTTCTTGCTCCACTACGAGCATTTAAACCGCCCAGGATCCCAGGTGTGTTTCTCCAGCCCAGAGGAGGGAAATTATCTGTGACCAGACCATTACACATTGCAGCCCTCCAAAGGGGATGTCTGATTGACATCATTAACATCCAGGTTAACAGAGGAGGGGATTCCTGTACCAGGCTGTACTCCACTAGAGGGGAGAACCTCACGCTGATTTATGTGATTACTGCGCATTAAGATTGCGCTTCTGGTGAGTTTGTAATCTTACTACTTATCGCACACCACCTGACTATTTATTTTACACCTTGGGACTATTCATTTTACACCTTGGGGCCATTAAGATATATACTGGAATTCTGGAACTGCTCAAATACTTCCATCGCTGAGATTTAACCTTGATTATTATCATTATATCCTGCATATCTTTATGAGACTTTTGCATGTTTTACCAGCTATTGGCTTGTTTGATTTACGTCACAGTATATATATTTTTAATACCTAGTATGTGCACTATTTTATTTTTTTAACTCAATACAGGCATTTACAGTCCTGCAGAGACACTGGTGTATATATATATACACTATATTGCCAAAAGTATTAAGAAGACACCCCTCCAAATCATTGGATTCAGGTGTTTCAATCACCTCCATGGCCACAGGTGTATAAAATCAAACACCCAGGCATGCAGACTGCTTCTACAAACATTTTTGAAAGAATGGGTCGCCCTCAGGAGCTCAGTGAATTCAAGCGTGGTACTGTGATAGGTTGCCACCTGTGCAATAAGTCCATCCGTGAAATTTCCTTGCTACTAAATATTCCACAGTCAACTGTTAATGGTATTATAACAAAGTGGAAGCAACTAGGAATAACAGCAACTCAGCTACAAAGTAGGCCATGTAAAATGACAGATCAGGGGTCAGCACATGCTGAAGTGCACAGTGCGTAGAAGTCACCAACTGTCTGCAGAGTCAGTAGCTAAAGACCTCCAAACTTCATGTGGCCTTCAGATTAGCACAACAACAGTGCACAGAGAGCTTCATGGAAGGGGTTTCCATGGCCGAGCAGTTGCATCCAAGCCTTACATCACCAAGTGCATTGCAAAGCGTCGGATGCAGTGGCATAAAGCACGCCGCCTCTGGACTCTAGAGCAGTGGAGACGTGTTCTCTGGAATGATGACTCATGCTTCTCTGTCTGACAATCCAATGGATGTGCCTAGGCTTGGCAGTTGCCAGGAGAACGGTGCTTCCCTGACTGCTTTGAGCCAAATATAAAGTTTGGGGAGGGAGGATTATTGTGGGGGGGTTGTTTTTCAGGGGTTGGGCTTGGCCCCTTAGTTCCAGTGAAGGGAACTCTTAAAGCATCAGCATACCAAGACATTTTGGACAATTTCATGCTTCCAACTTTGTGGGAACAGTTTGGGGATGGCCCCTTCCTGTTCCAACATGACTGCACACCAGTGCACAAAGCAAGGTCCAAAAATAGATGGATGAGTGAGTTTGGGGTGGAGAAACTTGACTGGCCTGAACAGAGTCCTGACCTCAACCCGATAGAACACCTTTGAGATGAATTAGGGCAGAGACTCAGAGCCAGGCCCTTTCATCCGACATCAGTGCCTGACCTCACAAATACGCTTCTGGAAGAATGGTCAAACATTCCCATGGACACATTTCTAAACCTTGTGGATAGCCTTCCAAGAAGAGTTGAAACTGTTATAGCTGGAAAGGATGGGCCAACTCAATATTTAACCCTGCGGACTAAGACTGGGATGCCATTAAAGTTTATGTGTGTGTAATGGCAGGCGTCTCAGTACTTTTGACAATATAGTGTGTGTGTGTATATACACACACTGAAAAACAATAGGCTGCTGTATATTACACAAATATACAATATACTGCTAATAGTGAACACTTTCCTGCCCAGTCACTCCTCTTCCCCCCTGAAGATCCTCCAAGCTGTATGTTATATGTTTTCTTCACCTGCTCCAGAAGTTGTAAGGGTGATCAGGCAATGTTGCAGGGTCCTTTTCCTCTTTTCCTATTTTACCGAAAGGATGGTCCTCAATAATGCATTACACAGTGAATGCAGGGTACTAGAGACGACCACTTTGGTTTGAAGCTAAGTATTGCAGCCTGAGCTGCATTTTAATATTTTGCATAGTCTGGAGGCCCAATTAAAAAAAGAATTGCTTATACTAACTTAGAGAGCTCCTGAATTACTAATAGAATTACATTGTTTTTGTATTAAATAAAAATTTTAAAAACATAAAATCGTTGTGCCTGGAGTTGGTCTTAAAAGAAAATGGCTAAACACAAGCAAGGAGCATATATAAAACTTCTGTAGGCAGAAAACTAGGAAAACTATGTGCTACACCTAAATACACAGACATGTTCCATTTTTTAGCATTGTAGTGCAGCATAGAAATCGTTCATGGACCTGGCACCGAAGACCCTAAAATAAACAAACATGAGGAACAGATGGTTTTTGTCTGCTGTAACAGTGGGAATGCAGACAGGATGAATGTAAACAAAATAGTGGGTTATATTTTTAAAGTGCAAGCACTTCTGAAATAAGAGTGCAACCAAGCAGCAAGGACCCGAAAATGTGTTGCTGTGATCACATATATTTTTCAGCATTTATAAAAAATGTCCATCACCTAGGATTTACTTATTTCTTTTGCCCTATGCATTAAAGTGATTCTAAAGACAATGTTTTTTCTTTAAGGATAAGGTCACCTTTTGGTAAAAAACTTATAAATGCACATTTTTTTCCAAGTAAAAAATATGGATGAAACATGTTATGAAAGGTGAAGTTATCCTTTAAATAACAAACATGTCATACTTACCTGCTCTGTGCAGTAATTTTGCACAGAGCAGTCCCAAGCCTCCTCTTCTTGGGTCCCCTGCTGGTGCTCTTGGCTCCGTCCCCTTGCTAAGTGCCCCCACAGTAAGCAGCTTGCTATGGGGGCACCAAGCCCCCACAGTCGTGGCTCAGCCCCACCTCCACTCTTTTCTAATTGACTCACTGACTGTGATTGACAGTAGCAGTAGCCAATGAGTCCCACTGCTGTTTCAGCCAATGAGAAACCCAGGACAGCTGAGGCTCTCATGCACATCACAAGATCAAGATGGGGCTCAGGTAAGTATTGGGGGGCCTGCTGTGCACAGAAGGTTTTTTGCCTTCATGCACTCTATGCATAGAATGCATAAAAGTAAAAAATACTTGAGCCTTTACAATCACTAGTATTTTTGTGAAAGATGAGATGGTCTGTAACTTCAGATGTATGGTCAGCTTGTCTGTGGTCACATTTTTACTAATTCTACAGTCCTTCAGGCAGATCCAGCATGAATAGATATTGTTTGCTGAGAAGAGATGTACCAGGCTGCACAGTGAAGCTCCCTTGCTCACCCGTACTCCCCAGGAGCAATGGGATGAAAGCCCTTTCGTGTCAATGAACATATGCCTTTCTACATTTAAGCAAACTTTGATAAAAGAAAAAGCTGAACACTAAAGCTGGATGTAAACCTTTCCAACATTTCTGCATTTTCACATTCTACCATTGTCATCAGGAGGACCTATAATGAGCATTATTGCATCAAGAAATGTGAACAACAGATGTGAACTAGCACCATTAAAAACAATGGGTAACCTGTGTGCCTGTTGACGCATGTTAAAAAAACATATAGGTTCTTTGGTCCTATTCACATTTGTCCATTTTCCTGCAGTAAAACACATAGGGGCCCAAGGAGTAATTTTATTTAAAGTATAATTAAAGGTAAAAATTTTCTTTGTTTTACATAGAGTGGAGATAGATTAGAACAGTTGTTAAGTTTTTATTGCTATCAGTGCCCCCATTAGGGAGGGTCAGCCTAAGTGTCCTTTTTACCACTATCACTGAGAGTGAACAGGAAAGAAAATCACAAGTTTGATTGGCCACCAGAACAGATGGGAATTAGAAGGCAAATCTTTCAATGGGACACTAGTTCTGATGACTCTGTTGACAACAAGGGATTCCCTCTCTTTGGAAGGATTTCCTCTCACTGCCTGTTTTGGCTATGAGACAGGAAGTGAAGAGGAAATCTCCCCATTATGACTCAGGTGGCAGATAAAAAATGACAGGCGTTTATAACCTTTCTTACTCTATCCAAATGAAAAAAAAAAAAAGTTTTGCCTTTAGTTCTACTTCAAGACATAAATAGGCTCCACCCCCTACAGTTCCTTTGTTGCCCAGAAATATTCCTCTACCTTAGACTACAAGTGCCACTGAACAGCAAGTGAAACAAGCTTCTTTCATTAAATGGAAATGATACTACCTTTTAAATGATACCTGTATGTATTCTTCGTACATTATTTTCAGGACAAAATATAATTTGTAAACTGTATGTTCTTTACGTTTGGTAGATCAAAAAATATTGTATATGAATATCATGCATTGTTATTTTAGGCAACATTTTCCTTTTCATGGTTTCCAGCTTTCTCTTATCTCATGTTGTTTACAGGGCCCAGATAAAGCCTCTAGGGTAAAATACATCAGTAGTGATATCCTGGAGGGACTGTTTAAAGATAGAAGATGGCATGTGGCTGCATTTTTTGAATTGTTTATACAGCTCTGTAGCTCAAGCTGGAGCTTAAACACATAAGTTGCATACAGGGATAAAGGCATCAATAAAAACCTTACAAAAGCTCTAACCTTTCCTAAACTTAACTGAAGCATGCATTCTGTGTGGAGTTGGGCTTTACAATATGGAAGAAGGGTAATCTGCGAAATATAACTTGTAGTGCCTAAGTGCATAATACAACTGCCTAATGTGATGATGTCAGGTAGGAAAAGTCTTCCCAAAGACTAGCCTTTGGGAAGAACAGGAGCATACTCTGGTCAGAAGGGTACTTAGATAGTTCCAGCAGTGAAATCAACCAACATTCAAACTGTATTGTATTTTATTACACAGGGCAACATTTGTTAATTAACCAAAACAAGTGATAACATTTTTCCTGCTCAAATAGAAAATTCCTTATACGCATGATTTTTAAACCACTTGAGCAAAGTAGTACATAAAGTTAATTGTTGATCTTGACCCTCTGTTACACTATATAACATTAATTATGGGGTCTTCCAAAGAATAATTACAAATGCCCATCAATGAAAAACATGCCATGCTATCACACAGAATTTTAGCAAATAAGTTAAAGCAAACAGTTTCTCAATTTCTCAAAGGTTCTGTATAAAAAAAATGAAGCAGCCTATTAGGTATTGAGCATCAACTGTTAAAATAAATCAGACTTTGAATCAAGGTCACTTTAACAGAGAGAAAAATGGGCATTTGCTCCACACCCACTTGGATAGACAGCCCGATAAGCAACAATAACCTTCAACTTTAGTGTTACCAAAGAAGGTAATACATTCAGGTCCTGGTGATTTAGGAAACCTCATGTCGGGTACTGCCATCTTTGGATTTAAAGGACCAATGCAGTTGTTTGGATGCATCAATAAAATGGTGTTTAATCTATACCCGTCAAATCCACACCACCAACCTAAATCAACTGATTGTTCCCACAAAAGCAGATGTGTGATATTTTCTTCAAAATAATCTAAAGGATTAAGGAAAACATGTACCATAAATTGAAAAAGCACACATTTGGCATTGATGTAACTCATTTAACACGCCACTGGAACCCCCTGAGACAACATGACTTCGGGGGTATGATGAGAGTTGGCATAACTGAACGCTGTAATGTAGTGGTGGGGGACAGGGAGCTTATCTAATCCTATGAAAATATGTTCAGACTATTGGTATTAGTGTAGAATATTCATGGTGCTCTAGTAAAGTTTTAAATGGGTTTGCAGTTATACTAACATTTAGGGTTCCTATACACATACAGACTACCAACAAAGGAGGGTCTTTAGACATATATGTCTAGTAAATACCAGTGCACGCATAGCCTCTTAATCTTTCTATGTGATCATTATCTACTTGGATATTATTGTGGCAAAAAAAGGACATCCAATCAGCACATTGGCACATGTACAGCAAGTTTTCTTTTGCTTCCTAAAAGCATTAA